TTGTATGTCATAGCTAATTAAAAACACGCTAAACAAACACAGATGGTGCCTCACACAGAAAACCAGAGAAATGACATAGAAATGGGCCAGAGAGTAAAGGGCAGTTTACAGATAGAGTAATAGATCAAAGAGGTTGTTTCCTTAGGATGGTCGAGTGAATCGAGTTAAAAATGCAATAATGGGAGTAACTGTCATTTTTTAATGAACACCTGATACCCAAACACTAAAAAACACAAGTAGATGCAGGCTAGTACATATATATTAAACCATGATGTTAAAATTGAATAAATAATAATTAATAAATAATGAAACTAATTGATGATTTCACATATTGCATGCATGTGATTAATGATTTTTAATTTGGTCTCTCTCACTCTCTCTCTCTCCCTCTCTCTCTCTCTCCCTCCCTCCCTCTCTCTCTCCCTCCCTCTCTCTCTCCCTCCCTCCCTCCCTCTCTTTCTCCTTTCTATCACTTTACAGTTGACACTGCTCCATCATCACCTCACATCTATAGCCTCAGTATGAAATACAAAGGAATGCAATTACCGGGATATGCTAATAATATAATTGCTGTTTGTAAAAGCTACAAAATGAACAAGTCTAAGAGCTAAGTGACACTGCCACGGAAGCAAATTAGGCACATTAATGTAACAAAGGATATTAAAATACATGCATGTAAATGTACATACATGTATATGTACATGTACATGCATACATGCATATAATACATACATTTATACATACATACATACATGTACATGTATATATATATATATACATACAGTACCACATATACTATACACTTCATACTCATCTCAAGTACGCGTACAAATTTGTGGTACGTGACTGGATGGCATGCTAAAGTTACTGAGAATTCTGGCAGTAGCTGCCGTCAATAAAAAACAGGAACGGGTCTAAGCGCGGCGCTTTGGGGCATGCCAAGAGGCAAACTTACAAATCCAAACTGGTCGAGGTGGTTATTTGTAATTTTTAATTTCTGGAAAGAGATTAGTTGCTTTTCCCAGACAGCTCCGGTCGCTGGTGAATCAGGGTGAATGTATAGACGGCCTGGAAGGTGTGGTTCGGCTTTTCCTGTTACAACCCACTCGGAGTCATGGAACTTGTAGCGATTGTCATCGATGGCAACAATATCCATCACAATAATATATTTAGTGTCTGGCTCTAGACCAGAGACACTCATCTTTATAACAGGGAACATGCGTCTATAAGGAAAAGAGAGAGAGGGAGAGAGAGAGAGGGAGAGGGAGAGAGAGAGAGGGAGAGGGAGAGAGGGAGAGAGAGAGAGAGAGAGAGTGGGAGGGAGGAAAGAAGAGGAGGAAAAGATTAATGAGTGATGTCAATTGTTTATTTTATAATTATAAAATGTGGTAGTCCACTGCCTTTTTAAATTATAAACAACACAAGGATGTATTAATCTTTGAACTTTATCCTCCAGTCATTCATAAGGGCATACATCATCACAGTAGCCTTGACTACAAGCATTGTTAGATAAATACATTTTAGTGTCCTTTCTTTTGATCTATAATTGCCCTTCAATTTTTGTTCATATAAAAACTCAAACCCTTTTCCAAATTTTACAAACTATCATATAATTTTCACTGTATCTCCTTCTAACTTGACTTCTCTCTTCTTCTCTCCCTCCCTCTCCCTCTCTCTTTCCTCCCTCTCCCTCTCCCTCCCTCTCTCTCTCCCTCCCTCCCCTCTCTCTCTCTTTAATTCTAATAACAATCCTCCATCGCAATTTGGCTCATCATTCATAACTGCTACCTAGCTCCCACTCATTGCTATATCCTTCCCTTCCTCAATCCACAAACTCCAGGAAAAGCTCTCTTAACTGGAAAACAAACACATTCAAGGACCACTACACCAGCTACTACTGGACCAGATAGACATTGCATCTTTTGTCCAATGCCTAGTTTCCAGGTACTCCACACACCCATTTAACCCATGGCACACACACCTAAAACCTTCCACACACACACATATACACACACAAGGTCTGTATTAAAGTTTTATGCATGCATACATGTAATGTGGCTATTCCTAATAATACATTAGGAAGACATAGGCCCATGTTCGACCATAGACAGCTTAACAATGAGACAATGGAAGAGATACATGTACATTACTAGAAAGCATGTACATTACTAGAAAGGAGGTAGTTGTGTATGTGAGGTTTGAATTGGGTATGTATGGCCAGACTTGTCTGCACTCTTATCATTATCACGTTACAATAATATGGATATAGAGTGACACTATTATTAATTATGGGTTATTTCTTTGATCTCTGACTGATATACATGTATAGCCACAAGATTTATTATCTAACTAATTATCCCCTCCCCTCCTTCTTCCCCCTTCCTTCCCCTTCTCTCTCTTTCTCTTTCTTCTAACTAACAATCTTTATATTCTCTCTCTCCTTTCCTCTCTCCCTCCCCCCTCTCTCTCTCTCCCTCCCTCCCTCTCTCTCCTTTACCTTCCAGCTTTTGTTATGATCATTTCAGTTGTTGACTTGTGGAACTTAGCCCAGAGGTCTCTACCATGAAGCGTGACTTTGATGCCAGAGGGAGAGAGTGATTCTGCCGTATTAGAGTAAACTGTGATCCTATTACCTGCATGTGAGTATGACTTTATTGCCTGGCCATGTTCTAGAAAGGGAGGGAGAGAGAGAGAGAGAGAGGGAGAGAGGAGAGAGAGAGAGGGTTGATAAATACTATGAGATAAGTTGCTGTTAATAACATTAATGTTATTAGAATCGATTAACACTTATTCTAAACCCAGCTGTCCTTCGTGACTCCCACCCTCAGAGAACTGCCACACACAAACACACACACACACACACACACTATTGACTGCAGTAAAGAAAGGCTACAGACAGGGGCTACACAGAGGCATCTAAAGGTACACAACTTTCATGAACAGACTCAGACTAATTCCACTTGTATCTAAACAACAAGACATACTTAAAAGGAACAATATTGTACAATACCAGAGTGTTGAATTCAAATAAAGCTTTTGACTGATTATGTCAGTGAACAAAGAGAGGGAGAGAGAGAGGAGGAAGGAGGGACATGGTTTAGGCTAGTCTTTCACTTGTGATCACTTGAAAATGTCTAATAAGCAAAGGAGTATCTTTCCCTAATTTTGCATGAAATTCTAAATACTACTAATAACAATTTAAAAGTACTGCTTGTCGGTCAATCCAGTACAAGCTCTTCCTATTAACAACAAGTATTGGTACAAACACACATACAACTAGAACAGCAAGTGAATGTCTCCCCTCTATCCCTCTCTTTCCTCTCCCTTTGTCTGCTTCCTCTCTCCCTAATAATGTGTGAAGAGACAGCTCATTAGCAGCTCTCCACATTTCATTCTTTGTTGACCAAAACAATAGTTAACACGTTGAAGGAGCCAAACCAAATTTACAATGAGTTCATTCACACTCACTCCTAAGGACCACCTCTGAGAATCGAACTAGAAAGGTTTCTCAAAGTGTCAGGAGTATGTCTGCCCTGAATGAGGAGAGGTATTGGCACAGGCACACAACCAGACATACCACTAATGAATTAATGGGAACAAGTGTTGGCTTATCATTCACATAAGTGGATATGTGGACACAAAAGGAGAGAGGGAGTGGGTATGTGTATTGAATGAAGAGAAGCCCATAATTGTGATTATTATATAAGAAAGACTATGAGGCAGTAATTACTACCTACAATGAAATGGCAGTCTTTGTATGTGACCTGTATATGTAGGGCAAAGCCTAAGTGTGAGCTAACACATAAACATAAAAATACATACATACCCACAATATACATCAGCTATTGTCTGTGTTGTGTATATAGACTTCTGACACTCACTTGAATGAAGTAGTTAAGAGGCAGATTAGAAGGCTATCAAAACATATGTATTACTGTGTGTGTGTGGAAAATTCAAGTATTGTTACTAATTAATAGAAGCATGGGCGAATTCATTAATCAGTCTAAGCCTCCACATTATTTTTGTATCTATACTAAATTGGATGCAATGGGCCGTGAAAATGTGGCCTTAGTTGTGGCCACTGATTATGCTCCAGGACTTAGTAGGCTACTATGAACTGGAATGCAAGTATTATTATAAGGAAGGGCTTGTATTAAATAAGCAAGTGTATTACATAACCAAGAACTTGCATAACATTATAACTAATAGTCCATCTCCTCCTTTCCATGAATACTCTCCCCCCTCTCTCTCTCCCTCTCTCCCTCCCTCTCCCTCTCTCTCTCCCTCCCTCCCTCTCCCTCTCTCTCTCTCTCCCCCCTCTCCCTCTCTCTCTCCTCCCCTCTCCCTCTCTCTCTCTCTCTCTCCCTCTCTCTCCCTCTGTCTTACCTCCACCTCCTTCAATTAATGATGGGTCTTCTTCAACATCGGATTCTCTCTTCACTGACTTAGAAGGCGAGTCCTCGTTATCTGATAGGTGTCTCTTTCGAGAAGAAGAGGCTCCACTTTGCTGGTCTTCCTCTGACTTTATCGAGAGAGGGGAAGGCAAGAGACCATGATCTTTATAATCTGTAGAGAGGGAGGGAGAGGGGGAGAGAGAGAGAGAGGGTGTGTGAAAAAATGGAGGAGAGATTACAGAGGGAAAACTACTCAAGCATTATATCAGTCAGCATAAGCTGCATGTATTACAACATGGAAGGCACTCATCATTTGTATGGATAAACTGTACTGGTTTGTTAAACACACAAACAATGATTAAGAATATTGGACTAAGAGAGAAAGGGATATTGATTACACTTATAAACAAAAATAGTCAAACAAAAATAAGACTAAAGTAGTAAAACAGAAAACACTATATACAAAATACACTTCAGATTCTGCTAGAGTCTCTCTTGCATTTAATACCTGTTTCTCCTCTTGAGGTGGATTCCATTATCCCAGTACCAACAGTTTCCTTACTGAATGAAGAGAGAGAGAGAGAGAGGGAGGAAAGTATTAAAGAATATTAGTGAGGAGGCTGCAGGTCCAGTATAGGTAAAAGGGGTAACAGGACACATTAGCAAAAAGATGAGTGCAAGTGTTAGTTTTGCTAAATGGTAACAGCTTAGGTGGTGGCTCAACTGTTAAGATATGAAGAGAGGAAATCAAGGCTATAAAGGGAAGGGAGCTAGGCAGTGGGACTGGAAGAACCACACATGCTTCTTTCCTTCTCTTCCATATAGCTCTTGCTACCTCTTCTTGTCTACAACTGAATAGATTTGCAATGGATGCTTTACCTGTAAAATCCTTCTTGCAATAGCTGATCCTGGCCTCTGTAACCTAAAAGGAAAGGACAGAGATCATAACTAGACTACAATGGACTCCAAACTCATGGCAGGTCAAAGATAAAGAGGCAAAAGGTAAGGGGAGTGATAGAGTGATAAGATTGATTAAACTGTAGTAGTGTGGAGATGGGGATAACTCTACCTTGCAGAATAGGACTACTGTTCTGTACAAAGTCGAGAGAGGGTGAAGCAGTGTTCTGTAAAAGCCTTCCGCACAACATAGAGGCAGAGCCCTAACTGTGAGCTTAGCGTCCGAGCCGAGAAAGAGAGAGAGAGAGGAGAGTAGAGTAGCTCAGGGTAGCCTGCTGAGGTGTGATGGGAAAGTTACTGCCGGAGAGGAGAACTTGAAATATTAACGGCGAGAGGAGGTAGCAGGTAAATACGGATAAAATATTATGCTAGTAAGCTAAAAGCTCTTTCAGGGAGGATTTCTGCTGCTACTGGAGCTTAGGCTTGCCAATTGCAACAATGAGAGTCGGTAAGCTGCTCTACACCATTTGTAAGCTAGTGATTATCGAATCCCTTCCGGCCTGCGGCCAGCTTGAATCTCATTACGTTTTATTTATTCCATAATTAATTAGAAACCGTGCCAACGCACATAAAAATGATAATAGGACAAGATATGGTTTTTCCCCACCGCCTCTGCTTTTCTAGCAACGTTTCAATTTAAAAAAAGGAACAGAATTAATCGAAAACTTAAAAAAACAGAGAAAAATTTGCATTCTAATTGTCAAGGATTAAAAAAGTTTTTCTTTGCAGTAAAAAGTGCAATTGATGATTAGTATCTCCGAATCCCTCTATATAGGACACTGATGAACAACTAGTTCTTTAGTCATTAGTACCACTACCTGGCCCATGCAACGAAGATGTGGATGAGCGATGAGAGGGTTTTTGGTGCTGTTGCGACTGCTTCATGTCACTGTAATCAAACTTATACTGACCGATGATGGAATTCATGTTAACAACAGCAGGTCTTAGTTTAAATGACCTCAAGTGACCTGTGAAACCATCGGAAAGCAACTGGAGGAGAGAGAGAGAGAAAAAAAAAACAAAAAGATAGGAACAAAAGAAAAATAGGAATAATACATTTAATCATAATTTCTTCTCTCCCTTTCCTCCCTCCCTCTCTCTCCCTCCCTCCCTCCCTCCCTCTCTCTCTCCCTCCCTCCCTCTCTCTCTCCCTCCCTCCCCCCTCTCTCTCTCTCTCCCTCCCTCCCTCCCTCCCTCCCTCCCTCCCTCCCTCCCTCCCTCCCTCCCTCTCTCTCTCTCTCCTCTCCTATTCTCTTAC